TGTGTGTGTGTGTGTGTGTGTGTGTGTGTGTGTGTGTGTGTGTGTGTGTGTGTGTGTGTGTGTGTGTGTGTGTGTGTTGTACAACCTTATATATTGTTATTTGTTTTAGCAATTGACTAAAATTAGGTTTTTGATACTTAATTGTATTTAATTGTACAAAATGTGTCAACATTAAATACCTGTTTTATTCAATATGCCAAGACAAACGCCTTTTTTTTTTTATAGATAGTAAAACTATCTTATATTAAATAAAGTAAACATGTTTACATTTGCAGTAATGTCTATTAAATAGTTTAAACTAATAGGCTATAATTCATGTATTTTAATTTACCTTATCATACTTTAAACATATTTAAAGTTTTCTACTCCATGAGTAATTTACTTTATCATGCTGTGTACACTACAATTACAGCAGTTACACTTTAAAAGCAAACTCACAGAAAAGCTGTTTTTGTTTATCTTCTGAGTGGGGCATTTCAAAGCAGAAAGGCCAGCCATCCCATTAACCTCTGATATTTGGTGTATGGTGGTTTATAAGTGGTTGATCTGTGCTAACCCAAAGCCGTTCTTAATTGACAGTGGTACCAATTTCTCCTTAGAAGTTATAAAATAACTGCTTACTTTCCTGTCACAAATCAGTTTATAAAGGATACTAAATTCGTTTCATGCACTTTTGGAAATGGCCACAAGATGTCCTCATCCCATTGAAGGAATTTAGACTGTCATCGTGATTATTTATTACTTTTTTATTTGAAAACATAACAGATAAGATGCTCCTGCAGCTATTTAACCACAACAATATGACTCATAAATCTTAACCATACTAAAATAAAATTCTCCACTTTTTTCTCTCTCTCTCCCAGACACTCTCACACACACCATTTTGCCGACGGAAAACCCCATGCCACTCCCCTTTAAGTGAGCCAGTCTTCTCGGGTAGCAAGGGAGCCCAGCAGGGTACAGTTTCAAAGAGAATCGGTCATAATGTAAATATGACCCATTTTCCATTCATTAATCCCAGTCAAAGTCATTGATTTCAGAGTGTGATCAGCCGATGCTTGCATGTTGGAGCCTTCATCACCGGGACCGGATCACCCCCCCCCCCCTGCTGTCTCTCCTGAGAAGGTGAAGCCTTCAGAATAACAGCTCTGCCGCTATGAGACGAATAACGGGCAAGACGAAGGATGAAACTTTGATCGAACTGCAGAGCGCGACAGAATCACAGACAGGAGGTAATTAAATAAATATGCACTTATTAAACTTTAAGTGGGGTCACGAGGAGCTTTATATATTGTGCCAAATGTGTCGAAGATGCTTTCTACTACTGCTTGTTACTGTTGTTACCAGGGGCTAATCTGGCCAAGAAGATGACAGTATGGTGTCCTTGACTCTACCATGAACTGCAGTCTGCTTCGTACTTGCTCATGTCCCTAACTGATCATTACATTCAAACAGACCTTTAACTAATGTATTCTTATGTCTAAATAAGACCCTCTAAAGCGAATATAGCTGCCTATATAGAAATAGGATATATATATATTAGGCTATGTAGAAGAACATGTCAGCAAAAAATTCCAAGTGGTAGCCTACCACATATAATGACATGTTTGTGTTTTGCCCACAGCATAATAAATGACATTTTTAGGGTTTATTGCTTGTTCTTTTTTACTTTACTTTTTGACTTGATTCCAATTGAATGAAACAAAAAAATTGTTTTCTTGCGGACAGAAAAGTTAATACAGCTGATGTATGAGACACATCAGAGCAAGTTAGTAGCAATCCCATGACAAGCCAGGAGGCAAATGGATCAAAACAGACATGCTGGGTGTTTTGCTTTGAATCACAGGAATGTCCCCAAAAAAAACTGGCACGTCATTCTGAAAGGCAGATTTCAATAAGATTTGTAGAATGGGTTAGTTAAAGACAAACTGCAATTTAACATAATCACTGAAAAATTGCACAATATCAGTACAAAGTGTGACAGAATATCCCAGCTAAATTGTTCTTCCTTTCTGCTTTATGTCAAGCTTTAAATACTGTATGTGTCTAGTCCTAATTAGATGGCCGTCTCTGAGATAGTCATGCTTCATAACCACTTTCAGTGTGATTTCTGATTGTGTGGTCACAAGAGTGCATCAGGCCGTTGACAGTCTGGGGAGTTTAGCAGCTCGGTTTTGCTCTCAACCACCATGTTTCAGAGGACACCAAATGAGTTAAGATTAATATTTTCTTCAGCCATTGAGCTTCATATGTCAACGTAATTTAGGTCTGCGGCCTTTTAAGTCATGCATGCTGCTTCTCATAGCCTTAATAACGGCTTGTGAGGATGATGTTGCTGTGGTAGCATTCTTAAGCAGCAAAGCTTCAAAACAGAGAAAAATGCACTTTGCTCTTATATCCCCCCAGTGTGACAAAAGACAATGTAATCTGTGTTAATATTTTAAATGTTGCACATCTACACAGACACCATGCAAAATTTGAATTTAATTACTTGGGATTTTGTAATTAAACAACATATTTCACGACCGGAACTATGTTTTTATCGTCGTATAAACCTAAGAGGGATGGGCACTTCTTGTGCATGATACGAAAAATGAAGAAATAGCTCTATCAATAATTACAATGGAAATGACTGTGGACACATTTTTTTTTACATTTTGTATTCTCTTAAGAGATCTAATTAACAATGCATTGATCCAAAACCTTTGTTATTAGTTCTGATTAGGAGGAAGCTGATTAGCCTAATGTACAGTCATAAGGTAATAGCTTTGGGACAAAAAGCTGATTCACTATTTAGATTTAGAAACTAAATTTAGTTTGAACCTGTTGAATTATTTCCATATTTATATGTACAGTATTATATTCAAAAATACAGCTGCCACAGATGGCAAATACTTTCATGACACAGGAAGTTCATGACGTGTATTGACTGACCATATATTTTGACCCCTGCTTGTTCCTGTGCATTTTAGAAAGCCTGGTTCTCTTGTGATAAGAAAAGTTGTCCACTGGGTTTTACCGAAGAGGCTCAGAGAATGAGAGACTAATGTTTGCATTTAGTCCTGAAAGGAAATTATTTCTGTAGAATAACTGGACCTAATGGACAATTAAATATCGAATAGTCCAAATGCCCTTTTTAAGCATCATTATGATAAGTAAGCAATATGCATCTAAGAACTTTAAAAGCAATTGTTACATTAAGATGAGTTACAGCACTGTTATAATTGGGATACAGATATTTATTCTATAACATAATACTGTCAACCTCATATCATGTTTTTATAATCAGCTTTGAGAAGTATGTTTAGGCCTGCATAATTGCTTAGGTGTTATTAAATTGATTAGCATTTTGTGCTTTAGATTAATACGTTTAGGAATGCATTTGAGTGAATTAGTTATTTTAACATTTTAACTATTTCAACATTTTAACAGAATAACATGTATCACCTTAACTGTAATTACAATCTGTACATTATGTTAAAAAAAGATAATGTCTAGCCCACTGGTATCATAACCCTGCATATGTCTAGCTATCCGCACTGCATCACTGCAAGATCATTAAAGTGAAAGAGAATAAAGGTGAACTACTCCAAAGCGTTCACATTGAATCAGTGTTGAGCAAACTTAATGACATCCCAACCTGATATTTTCCATATGTACATCCCACACTCTTTAAATGGTTATCAGTGAGTTGTTCATTAAGACACGTGCCTGTTTATCATGGATGAGCTGAGTGTTAATAGACTGCTCTTGTTCTGCAAAGGCTTTGTTCTGGCTCTTATCAGGGCAGACCTTCAGCCACAGTGAAACAGAGAGAAAAGGCAGGAAAGGGTCTGTCCTCACCTCCATATATTCACTGTGTGTGTGTTTGGAGTGTATTACCTCCATCACCGCTGCCCAAACACTGAATTATAGACAGCCATGATAACGGCAGGAGGAGCACCAGATGCACTGCTACACAGTAAACTATTATACTGCTGGTACTTGGTGTCATCCTCATAAAGTTTATCTTTTTTATTTGACTCAAAGCTTATCTGTTGCAGGTTACATTTCTTTTGGCATTCATCATGGACAGTATACCATTCATTCTTATCATATGATAGTTACTCGTACTTTAAGGGCTTTATATCCATTTAAGGTGATCTCGCTCTGCTCTCTGCAGCCATGGCTGATTAATTTATCTTCCAGTCAGAGGTGAAACAGAGCCAAAGGGTTGCTATGGAAACAGGCATTGTAATTGCATTAGCCCCTCTGATCGAGGCATGATGCTGAATAAGACAAGGGAACAACCAGGCTTTTTCCTCCCAACAAACTACAGGAAAGCTAGGGTATTACTAGGGCAGTATATATAGCATTCTTTGGGATCATAATGATCTTTTTCAACCTTTTTTTTTTCAGATTATATACAAATATTGTCTAAGTGTATAACATGGTTTCCATGAGCATCCCCTCTGCCTTGGTCTGTTTGCCTGGCCCTCGGGTACGGACATTAAATATTTAAGGGAAAACAAACACTCTCGGCACTCGCCATGTTTCATGTAAGCTGTTTGTGGAACAGCTGTGCCACTGGGAACTATATTTGTCAGATAGTAATACTGTATATCTTAATAAAACGTTCCTTAATCTGGATATAAAACAACTGATATTACAAAATTAGGCATGCTTCTTGCCAACCAACACAAATCATCAACCAAACAACCAGGCCAGAGGCTGCATATCATGCAACCATTGAGCAACTCTCAACTGTCCTAATCTGCAATGACCAGTACTCCATGGCAACGCTTATCCTGAAACATGCCTTTCTCAACAGACATTCAAAGATATCAAACATGGTATTTTATTCGATGTTTTGTCTTATCAAGCTATTCCATTATCTCCTCTATCCTGCACACAATGTCTATTGTGTTTTTGAACTTTGCAAGCTTTCTGGGGATTGTCAAGAACCCCCCCCCCCTTTTGGACTACAACATCCTGAAGATAAGAAAGGAAACATGTTTATTTCACATTATGATACAAGCCTGATGGTTTTGTGAAACCAAAACACAACCCACTCTTCAAACACATTACTTACTAAAAGATATATGTTTCTTCATCAATTGGTTTTCTCTCCCTACTCTTCAAGATCCATACGTAGTATGTGCACATTACTTGCTATTGTTTGGTATTGTATTACAGTGAAACGTTTGTCAGTCTTGTTGGGGAGATATTTTCCTAGGCCCATAACTTCGACCCAGTTTATCAGTTTGTTCTGAACTCACTGAGCTCAGGCACCTGTAGCCTTGGGTGCTGTGCTCTCAGAGTTTTGTCTTCCTATTCCTGCCTGTTGGCCTCAGCTGATAGAGGTGTCATTGTGCTTTGCCTGTTTTATCTTGTTATGCACAATGTTGATTATTCTCTCAGAACCAGCTAAATACATGGGTCTGGGGTAGAGATCCATTGTGCATAACAAGATAAAACAGGCAAAGCACAATGACACCTCTATCANCTGCCTCCTCTCTGGCAGAGGGAATGTGCTAATGTAGCATTGCTCTGCTCTGCTCCCCTATTATTCCTGGATGGTGAGAATGCAGCACTTCCTGTGGGGGAGCCTGGACCGTGCATGATACAGCAGTGAGGGGGAGGGGCCCGGGCTTAGAGCTGCTGCCTACCAGAAGTCTTTCCTCTCTTCTAATGAAACACAGTGAGCACACAAAGGTCACAAAGATCCCTAGCTTCTTTCAGCTGCAACCCAGACACCCTCTCAGAGGGACTGTGGTGTCTCCATGTGGACGCTCAATGACAGGGCTGCAGACTCACTCTGAAGGAATGAAAATATGCCAGCATTTAGATTATAGGAATCCCTGAAGTGTAGAGAGGTCAAAGAGCCAGGGTGATTTTTCCAGTGAGCTTGTGGGAAGCATCGTGGAATTTGCAGCTGAATGTTTTTTTTTAAACAGGTTTTTTTTTCCCCTTTCCTTTTTAGTTGTAGTTGTTTAGTCTCACTCCAACTGTGCACAGCCAGTTATCAGAGCCTGGCTTGAGCAAACAGAAGCAAGGGCAGGCAGTGCGTTATATCTAATTCCACGGAGAGTCAAATAAATGGAGAGAGGGGTCTTTACAGAGCAGCCTGCCTTTTGTAGAATTGAGCAGCAACGGCAAATAGTGACTAGCACGAAAGAGGAAAAAAAAAACCTTCAAATAAACTTCTGTATATTTATATCTAAGTTATTAACTCATGCAAAATTACCTGAGCAACAATGGCTTTTAAAGATGAACATTAACCAAGTTAAAACTCATCTAAAAGTAAAGCTCATGCACTTTCAAAACACAGTTTCCAACCAAGCTACCCGATTAGCCTTCAGCTGCTGAATATGTCAATTCCATAAGGTATGTGGTGATGAGAGGAGAACAGCAGAGGCTTTTGACTTAAGTAAATCCACTAATTTCTAGCCGAGTAATGCCCATACCTAATCCACTACAGCCGGATTTCCATTCTTGACGGTGGTAATGCCTCAGAACAGACCGCCTCTCGCCCGACTGCCTCTTATTTGATGCATAGCCCTCTCAGAGATGCACATTTACGGCTACAGTTTTATTTTACATGGCAGCATGTGTAACTGGCAGGAGAGCGGCCCCTTCCGTGAGTCATCAAAAGAAATTTTATGAAAGGGAACCTGCTTCTCTCAATCTGAACTGACATCCTGGGTCTAGTATTTGTCTGGGGATGTGAGATGATACCTCAGCCACCCACACATCCACTTACCAACACACACACACACACACACACACACACACACACACACACACACACACACACACACACACACACACACACACACACACACACACACACACACAACAATACATCATTTATATTTTTCAAAATCAAGTCCTCTCATAGACTT